CCTCTCCGCACGTAGTCCCGGCCTCGGAGCCGGCGGAGGGACACGCGGGAGGCGCGCAGTCCCGTTTGGAATTTTGGCGCGGACATGGGGAGGGGCGCCCTCGTTGATTGGTTGGTGCTTCGGCTCTGCCCCGCCCCTTCCGACACCTGCAGCCGCCGCTTCCCGCCATCCAAAATTCAAACGCGGGACGCTCAGCCCTCTTGGCCCTCGCGGAGCGAGAGCTCTACGCCTGTGACAGGCTTTCCGTGGGCCAGTTTGAAGAAGTTTCGCTGATGACCGCATCTGAACAAGTTCGCCGCTCAAAAGAAAGAAACCGGACGAGCTCAGCGTCCTTTGAGCAGGGACGTAGGTTCTGTCCCCAGCTCTGCCACAAGATCTGGAGGAATCCTCATCCCGTGCTAATTCCCACCCCCGTAAACAACTAATTGTAAACCCAAGACCCTAAGATGGCGTTAGTGTATCCTGTTACGTAGACTGCATGTGTCCAGTAAACGCTACATCGCAGCATTACAGAAAATGGCTTCCTCAGGTGACAGCAGTTACTCGACTGCTCTGCTACACGATAAGACTAGGAGAGGAGTCCTAGTGAGATAGAGGCACAAGCTGCTTATTTATCGGGATAAATAACTACGGTTTATTAATTCAACGTGTATTAAATATTGAGCATCTAGACTCAGGCATTCTAACCACTGAGAATCACAAAAAAGCTCTCAGGGACTTTACATTCTAGTGGAAGGAGAAGGAATATGCTCATATAGTGAATATGTACACAGATTTAAGTGGTTAAGTTACAGAGAAATACAGACAAGGGGAAGGGAAGATTAGAGAAGTTCTCCCTGAGAAATCTGAATCCCTCATCCCTCTGATCCCCCCCACCATAGATCTAGGAGAAAGGCAGCAGAGGGAAGCTGAGGACATGGAGGCCAATGGGCAAACTAGCTTGCTGGAGCTTAATGTAGTGAACATGGAAGCAGCTAGGGGAAATCCCCATGCTGCAGGTAGCAGGCAAGATAAGAAACGCAGCCTGAGTGTTAGCTTGGAGTGGTTTGGAGTGATTAGGTTTGCAGTGAGATCATACTAAGTGTGTTAAGGGTGTGACAAGCTAGAGTGAAGTCATTACAACCTGTTTGGAGTGATAGCAATGTGCGAAACGTGTGATAATGATAAGAAGAGGTATAAAAGACCCCAGGAACAGACCAACGTCGTCCGTCCTTGACGACCCGTCAAGTGGACCCGCCGAAGCTCTGCCCGAGACGCAGACACTCTGCCAGAGACGCTCTCCCGTTCGAGACGTCAGATGCCGGAGAACATCATGAGACCTTGAAGCACGTCGCAGCGCGACCCTGCCGCGTCCGACACCACCGGCGCCACAGACTCAGGTCGTATACCAGGACTCTTTTCCGCAATGACTCTAGCCTAGCCTTGGTGCCAGCCCGATTACCTTGGGCTGGCATACTGCTTATATTCCTTTGACTACCGCTATGCTTATTATGCTTATTTTCATATTCTCTTGTATGTGTGTGTTTGATGATATAATAATAAATGAGATTATTCTCGAAAAGCCACTTGCAGTCGATTAATATACGTGGGATCCCGAAACATAAAATCGGTGCTCGCGACAGTTGGCGTAGTCGGCAGGATCCCACGTTTTATATTAATTTGGACTGAGAATTTATTAATCCTAAGCTTAGTTTCGTTTGCGGACCACTGAGTGATTACCATTACTCCACGAAGCCAACCCAGGCAACTGGGGAAGAGAAAGCCACTTGCAGTCGATTAATATACGTGGGATCCCGAAACATAAAATCGGTGCTCGCGACAGTTGGCGTAGTCGGCAGGATCCCACGTTTTATATTAATTTGGACTGAGAATTTATTAATCCTAAGCTTAGTTTCGTTTGCGGACCACTGAGTGATTACCATTACTCCACGAAGCCAACCCAGGCAACTGGGGAAGAGCGGGTTATTGAAGAGCAGGGAAAACTCAGGCCGAAAACACCACCCTCCCTAAAGGTGCGGAAGTAGGCCGCCGCAGACGCCACGAAGCCAACTCAGGCGCAAGCTTGAGGAAGAGCGGGTTGATGCGCATGGCGAAAGGGGAAGCAAACGAAACTAATGCGTAGATTTTTAAGCAAAAGATTTGAAAATTTGGAAAATTGGTCAATACTAAATTCAAAAATTAATGAAAATGAAATATTAGTAACTGCCAGTGGTTTTTCAGAAAAATTCTAAAAATTGAAAATATTGAAAATTTTTAAAACTGTTTTGCTAACATAGAAAGGCTGACTAACATGCTTGAGAAAACGAAACTAAAACTGAGATCGGGAGGAATGCCTCAATCAAGTTCGCTTAAGTTAGAATTAATGGAGACCAATGCGAGTCCACCTAATGGACCCCAATCTAACAAAACCTCTAATAGATAAAGATATAGAAGTAAAAACCCAGTATTAATGAGTTCTGAAGTATAATGAGTATTAATGAATTCTGAAGAAAATGAATTTATGGGCAAATGACCGGTCACATATGAGATAGGGATGGAGGAACCGAGGAAGGGGTTGGCCATCCCCCATGAACATCTTTCCCCATTCCCTCTTTCCCGAAGGTTTTTGCGTTGACTCCGAAAAATTGGCATAGAGGCTCACAACCTCGGGTGGTCCGATCTCGGCTTCCCGAAGGTTTTTGCGTTGACTCCGAAAAATTGGCATAGAGGCTCACAACCTCGGGTGGTCCAGGATCGGCTGCTACCCACAAACAGGCCCACACCTCGGGAATAGAGAAGGAGTCTAGGACGTGTGTTCGAGAGCTTGCTCGAGAGCTGGCGTCCGGGACGTATGCTAGAGAGCTTACGTCCCAAATAGCCCAAAATGGAAAGGATAGGGGGCTATGGCAAAAAGGGCCGACACAGCCAAACCGGAGGAGTTAGAAAAGGAGATGAAATGGATTTATGAAGCAATGTTGAATAAAGAACAGATGAGAAACATTTATGAAGCATTAGGACATATCCTAGAAACATCCAGAGGTGAAATCCATACATTATTAGATTGGTTAACAGCGGCTTGGAGATTAGCTTTTCCTTCATCAGATCCAGCCCAATTTGAAGCCGGCGCAAATTGGGTTGCTTATCAAAAGGCAAATAACATCTTAAGGCAAACAGAAACTCCCCCAATGACACCCACACAATCAGGAACATAGAAAAAACCTATTCAGGAGAAATTCTAAAATAGGCCTCACAGGAAATTTAATTGCATGTAGTACCATGGATGAAGCAACTCAGTTTTCCAAAAATATGAACAATTTTGTACCAACATGGTCTCTAGGTATAGTCACATACTCTGTACTTTACAATAATATTGGATTGTTTAGATAAATGCTGCTATAAAGAGTACTCACAGGTGAAACGGTTTTAAAAATAGAAATATAGGATAATAGAAATATTACTGCACTTATAGGATTAGAACTGCACTTTTCTGATAAGATTTACAAGTTAGATATAGTAAGCTGTTTTAAGTTACCTTTTATCAAATAAGACAATCCACATTAAGTAATTAATAAGCATAATAGTTAACTAATATATCAATTATAGTATAAATGTTATTAAAAATTGTTGTTATTAAAAATACATATATATAATCACTATATGATTGACTTAATAGAAAGTTAATAGTTAATAGTTAATAGAAGTTAATAGAAGAGATAATGGAAGTTAAGAAATGATAATAATATGAAACTTTAAATAGATACTATATGATTTTTATTATAACTCACTAGTATAATCAATAAGTAGGACTAATAATAAACAGTCCGGACCATTATCTCAAAGACCAAACAGCATAGTTATTTAATTGGAAAAGAAAACACTTCTATAATTATAGACAATAGAAAATAAAATTGGAGAAAAGAACTATATCAATTGGCTCTTATTATAAAATTTTTCATGGTCAGAAAATAAATACTCTCTTCTGAGAGGGCCATCCGGGCTATATATGAAGCTTGCCTAACAATGGATAAATGCACCAGGCGAAGTTTCAATAGAACTGCTAGTTGAAAGTAAAACATCATACATTGGAGCTGTTACTTGTCAAATCTCCCGAACTGTAATCAAGTGTCAACGCAAGGACAGATTTCACAGTCCCCGGACGCGATACTGCGACCAGGGGGTGGAACGTCTAAGGTGGATTGACATTACTTGAGACCAATAACACCCTAGCCAGAACAAAGGCATACAAGGAACAAAAAGGACTTTGACACTATAGTAACAAATGCATGGCTCATCGACGGACCATCAACAGGGCAACAGAGAAAACGGCAGCTTATAGGCCGGAGGATGGTTAGACTTTAACTGACCAATGAACATAAAAATCTATATATCAAATACAGCCACCACCAGTACTAAACTTATACACTAAATTATAGCAAATGAAAATGCTGTGTGGTCAGGAAAATGGGAAGAGACTAATTGAAGTTAATGAAAAGGAAAAAATCAAGAAAAAATCATATAAAAACAAGTAGGATGAAACACTATAGAAACACTGTAACTAATAAATTAATAGCATTACTAATACATATTAAGACATTAAGATAAGGAAAGTTTATAAGATAAAGGACATTACCACCAACATTATGAGACATATTGATGAGGCATATTGATGCCGATTCACAGGTGAATTGTCTAAGGTGTCATTGGACACTAGAAAAGATTTTAACATCCAAATTTGAACCATCACAGGTGATATAATCACGTCTTTCCTCTTTTATTGTGTAGTTCTTATCCGTGGCGTCTAAAATTAAAACGCCACAGGTAGAACAACATAAAGAAAAAAGAAAGTTTTACAACATTTCAAAAAACTTCCACTAAGCTATAGTCTAACTCTACTGGGACGATCGAGAGATGAAATGTGCACAGAAAGAGTCCCATGGAGGAAGCTATATCTTACTCACTGGAAGATATTAATATACTTAGATCACATATTTGTACTTACAGGAACACAAAGAAATCATACAATACATAACCTGAGGTTGTCGCCCCTGGACCTGGGAATAATCTCTGGATAACCCAAGGTAAGGGCGACCTCAGTCTAAAAAGAATT